GGGAAAGGAGGAAAACTGCTATGAAAATATGGAACCTGTCAAAGTATCCGTGCCCATCTGGAGCTGTGTCTCTTGGTCTGGAGGAGAAAGACTCCATGGCTGGAACAAGAGGAGCTTTAAATCCCTTCCATCTCCTTGTGGGAGTCTATGATTCATCAAACATAAACTGAAAATTCGCTGCACTGAGCAGGGACACCTCCCACTATCCCAGGTTACTCCAAGCCATTCCCAACTGGCCAGGAACACTTCCAGGGATGGGGCAGCCACAGCTTCTCTGGGCAACCTGTGCCAGGGCCTTGCCACTGAGACAAAGAAGAATTTCTTCCCAGTGTCCAATCTAACCCTGCCCTCTGCCAGTTTGGAGCCATTCTCACTTGGTACTGTCATCTCATGCCCTTGTTCAAAGGCACTGAGGTCAAATAAAGCCTTTTAAATATCTTTGATGTTTCTGAATGCCTCTGCGAGTGAGTTTGGCCAAGGATCGCTCTAAGCAGCAGATGGCTTAGATGAGTTTGATTTAAGGTGCTGCTGAACAAGTTTCCAGTAGCACCAGATAAACACTTTCGTGTCTGGCCTGTCGGATGTATCGGCTGATCACTGTGCACAGCACTGCTCATTCAACAGCTTCAAAATACCCCATTTTTTAGCACTGTTTCGATATCGACTTCTGAAAACCGCCTCTGCTAACGGAGCAGGTTGTTTGATGCCAGCCCTGACAAATCTCCTTGTTTATAATACATGGAAATTCAGCTTTTTTTTTTAACATTTGGCCAAGATTGTGCCCTGCAGAGCCATGGGCTGGACATGCCAGGTCTTGAAGGTCTGGAGAGCTGTGACACACTGCTCACCCAGACCCAGGTCCAGGAGGTGACCTTCATGGCACAGCCCACTCCTGCAATGAATTGCCAAGTTCTCAGATGAGTGCTGGGGCCAGCACACAGGTTTCAGCCCACAAGATCTGTGTCTTTCTGTACAAATAGGAATCAAGCATCTAACAAGCTCAAAAGGAAATTGAATTTGTCTTCTGACCCATTGTTCCCCTGGCTCCTTTCCAGCCCCGAGAAGCCCACAAGAGGGGCAGCCCCCAGCACTGGAGCTCCGCGTGCTATTACCTCAGGCAAGGAGAGATTTCATCTATTTCAGAGAAAAGCGAGCCCATCTGCTGCAGAAAGAGAAAACACAACCCGAAAGTCCTTGTCTCAGGTGTTCCTGCCTCGAAATGACTGTGGTTGCTCTTTGATGGTCAAGCAGACATTGTTCTCCTTTTTTCTGTTGGCTTTTTTTTCCTGTTGGCTTTTTTTTCTGCTGGCTTTTCTTTTTTTTTTTAACTGCTCGGATCTATTTTTAGTGATGAGGGGATGGTGCTCAAGAGGCTCTGCCGTGGGTCACCTCAATGTGGGTTTGGGTCACTCTGGATGCCAGGCAGGAAGCAAAGCACAGCTACTCCTGGTGGTCCTGCCATGGACAGTGGGACCCCGAAGACGGTGGGGGGCTGCAGGTGCTGCTGAGAGCAGGGGTCCCACATAGGGGGTTTGGGATTGTGATGGTGGCAGGCAGATGAAGACACTGCCAGAAACGGGCTTCTGCCATGGGAGGTGGAACCCAGCAACAACAGGGTGCTGCAGCTGAGCCCACGGGCACCTCGTGATAGCAGTAAACCAAATACTTTTTTTTTTTTTTGTCTGATTTAATGAGACACCTGGAAGTATGGTTTGCAATGAGAAAAAAAAAGTTTTTTTTTTCCTTTTTCAGTCCTTTTCTCCAGTGTCTCCGTGTTATGGAGGAGGCATTAGGGAGTGTCGCCATGTGCCACATGCTCCTGGCTGGGCTGTCCAACTGCAGGTGGGAGATGGAGCAGTGCCTGTCCTAGTCAGGGTTTGTGCAGCAGTGGGCTCAGCCATGCTCAAAACCCACCACTTTTTCAAATTTTTTTCAGCTTGAAAACGCGGCATGACCGTGGCGGGGCGGTTTGTGCTGATGCAGAGCCCTGCTGCATCCGCCACGCTGCTGTGATGAAGCCTCACGGCCGGAACTGCCCAGAAAGACTTAGACTGATACTTTGGCAAGAAAAGAGTGGTTTTTGTTGTGTTCCACCACCCCAGCCCGTGGCCAGCATGGCCTCAGAGCCTGCGGCTGGGGGGGCAGTGAGGCACAGGCAGAGGGGAGGGAGGGAGGGAGCCGCCCGCCACCCACACAGTGTTTCCGACGTGGCATTTGCTACCAGCAGTTAGTTACAAACAAAACAAATTCTACCTTGTAGCCTTGAAACTAAATTAGGTCTGATAGTGCTGATAATGGCGGCGTGAGGGAGAGGAACGTGGCGGGCTGACAGGGAGCGTGAGGGATCCAAGATGGCGCCGGGCCGTGAGGGCAATGGCGGCAGCGGGGGCGGAAGCCACCAGAAACGGCGTTTGAGGATGAATCAGCCATGGCTGCCTCAAGCAGGCGCAGTGTGGGAGCACAGAGGATGGCTCCATATATTCCAGCGGCAGGAACAGCCTACAGGGTGGGAAGGGAGGTGATGGCTCCATGTTTGCCAGAGGCAGGAGCAGTTGCCCAGTGGGAGCTGCTGGCATGGGCACAGGGCTGGTTTGCTGAAGAAAATTAATCACAAAAGCATAGAATATGATTAATTGATCCATAGAATATGCTGAAGGGACCCACCAGGATCATTGAGTCCAACTCCTGGCCATGCACAGGACAAAAAGTCACACCATGTGCCCAAGAGCCTTATCCAGACCCTTCTCAAACTCAGACAGAGTGCGTTGTGCAGATCTGAGTAAAAACGTGTCTCCATTGGGAAAAGTGTAAATCAGAGGCAAAAGAGGGCTCTGCTAAGGAAAAATGGCAACTCTACCACTGCTCTGGGCTGCCTGTTCCAATGTCCGGGCATCCTTTCAGTGAAGGAATTTTCCCTAATACACATTCTAAACCTCCCCTGACACAATTTTTTTCTCTTGCCCTGTTGCATGCTACCTGAATGCAGACACCAACAACGCTGGGGGAGAGGAGGTGCTCTGCCCCTCCGAGTAAGTGACATTGGATATCCCATCCCTGGAAGCATTCAAGGCCAGGCTGGATGGGGCTGGGAGCAACCTGGTCTAGTGAAGGTGTCCCTGTGCATACCATGGACTCGGTGACCCACTGCTGCTGACCTGCTGCTCCAGCCTAAACCCCCCATGCCTGCCTGTCCCCCCGTGTTTGTGCTCATGAGCTCTCCTTCCACCCACACAGGGAACTATTTTTAGCAGACACTAATCAAGTGTCAGTGTTGGCTCTGAGTGTGGCTTTCAGTGGAGGGCTCCTTCTTTCACCAACTGCTGGCAGGAACTCGGGTGTGTTTTCTTTTAAATCTGGTTGACAATTTGCACAATGTGCCGCAGAGCAGGGGCAGTTATTTTGGGCTCGTCACACCCAAGCCCACACTGAGTGATCACCAGGTGACTCTCCATTTTGGTGAGGGCTTGGCAGAGCATCCCCCTCCCAATCCCGCGCCGCCAGCAGCACCTGCTTGCCTTGCCTCACCCCTCAGGAGCTGGCTGCAGGCCAGGGATTCCCAGACAAGAGGTAGCTTTGCTCCTCTCGGGATGCTTATCTCCTGCACAAAGGTGATGGGTTGGAACTTTGAATCCTGCAGGTAAGGAAAATGCTCCATGTTCAGCCCTGGAGGTCACAGCCTCCTCTGGCTGAACCCCCCTGATGTGGGGCCAGCTCCCCCTCCACTGGGGTGACCCTGCTGAGTGACAGGTCACATCCTGTTCGCTGTGCCTGGGTCAGACACAGGACCTGCTGCTCACCATGTCTCGAGCAGCTCTGATTCAGTGAGAGCTGCGGTTGGGGCGAGCTCTGTTTCACTTTGGCTGCTGAACTCACAACAGGCACTTGGTGCTTCTGCATGATCCCAGCTGAACCGCACAGAATTGCCTGAGTTAGAAGAGACCCACAAGGATCAGAGTCCTGCTCCTGACTGTGCAAAGGACACCCCAACAATCCCATCATGTGCCTGAGATTGTTGTCCAAATGCTCCTTGAGCTCTGTCAGCCTTGGGACTGTGACCACTGCCCTGAGGAGCCTGTTTTAGTGCCTAAACATCCTCTGGGTGGAAGAACCTTTTCCAAATATCCAACCTAAAACATGCCATGACACAGCTCCAGCTGTTCCCTCAGGTCCTGTCCCTGGTCATACACAGAGATCAGTGACTGCCCCTCCACCTCCTTCAGGAGGAAGCTGCAGACCCTGACAGTTTCTGCCCTCAGTCTCCTTCAGGCTGAACAAACCAAGTGACCTCAGCTGCTCCTCATACGGCTTTCCCTCCAGATCCTCCATCATCCTTGTGTAGCTCCTTTGGACACTCTATAATAGCTTTGGTTTCCCTTCAGGCAGGAGAGCTGAACCGCACAGAATTGCCTGAGTTAGAAGAGACCCACAAGGATCAGAGTCCTGCTCCTGACTGTGCAAAGGACACCCCAACAATCCCATCATGTGCCTGAGACTGCTGTCCAAATGTTCCTTGAGCTCTGTCAGCCTTGGGACTATGATCACTGCCCTGGGGAGCTTTTAGTGCCTAACCACCCTCTGGGGAGGAAGAACCTTTTCTTAATATCCAACCTAAAACATCCCATGACACAGCTCCAGCTGTTCCCTCAGGTCCTGTCCCTGGTCATACACAGAGATGGAGGAAGCTGCAGACCCTGACAGTTTCTGCCCTCAGTCTCCTCCAGGCTGAACAAACCAAGTGACCTCAGCTGCTCCTCATACAGCTTTCCCTCCAGATCCTCCATCATCCTTGTGTAGCTCCTTTGGACACTCTATAATAGCTTTGGTTTCCCTTCAGGCAGGAGGAACTGCCTCTACTCTGGCACCATGTCTTCATTTGGATTGAAGGTGTGGCATTCTTGACCTCCCACCACTGAGCACGACATCTCCCCTCCCAGGACTGTAGTCTTGAAGGGTCACAAATCCTTCTAAGCACCCATGGGAAGTGACAAAGAATGGCTCAGTTCAAGAAAACCAGAGAAAAAATTTATTATTGTTCTTTATAAAATATCTCCAATAAGTTATATAGGCAAATATTTAAATTAAAATAAATTAACTCCGCTCTATGCTGGGACATGTGACTGCCCAAAAAGTCAAACTAGGATTTACGTTTCTCTGAAAAAATATGCCCTAGATCTCCGATGTAAGATTTGAAAAAAATATCTATGCTTGGTGAGAGGAAGGAGAAATCTGCACTGGACAGAGGGGTTAAGGTGCGGTGCTGAAGCTGCCTGGTGCCAGTGGCACCTCCACATCCAGCTAAGTGCTAAGAGCATCCTCATCATCACTCCAGTCAGGAGGAGCGTCCGTCCCGAAGTACCGATCACCAAAATTCCCTGTGGGGAGACAGAGAGTCAGAGTGCAGCACTGTGGGAGCCCAGAGACCCATCCTGCTGCCTGTCCTCATCAGAGCAGGCGAGGGGACCAGAGCAGGTTTATCTGACAGCTTGAACAGCAGGAAAACTTGAGTGGCAGCAAAACTGGAGCAGCCTGTAGGCTGGTTTACCACCCGGTGGAAGGTGTTTCCTGGCACAGGAGAGGTGAGGACAGAACACTGCGAGCTTATTTTGGGTGAACTCGTAGAAGGTGGCAGTTTAGGGAAGGAGGTGGGCACAAGGCTGCTCTAGTTGTCCCAGCCTGACTTCTCTGCCTGGGGCTGGAGGAGGCTCATGGCAGAGAATGGCTCCTGCTGCTGACAAGGCGATGGCTGCCCCGCAGCCCCCAGAACCAGCATGGTGATCCTGACACCCAGCTGGCAGCAGGACCCACGAGGGGCAGTGGGGCTCTGGGTAACGTAAGGCCAGACCTAAAGTGCTGCTGACAACCATGTCCTCTCCCCACCAGAAGCACTAAAAATCCCCTCAGCACAAGTCCTTCCCAGCAGGACACTCACCGATGCCGGGGATTATCCGAAAGAGGTCATTCACCTTCTTGTCCACAGCCGTGGTGATGATCTTCACCCTGGGGAACGCATAGGCCACCGAGTGGACACCCATCTCTGCCATGAGCAGGGAGAGCAGGAAGATCTTATCCTCTGGGACATCATGATCCTACAGGAGATGCACAGGGATAGCTCAGGGTGAGTTACCCTGTGCTGTGCACCCTGACACCCTCCTTCCCGCAGAGGAGCCAGCTCCAGTTACATCCCCTCAGCATGGCCGTGGCTGTGCTCTGCAGGCTGGTCCAGAGCAATCCCCCTGCCTGACCCGTCCGTACCAGCAGCACCCTCACTGCCATCATGGCTGCAGCGCCCGTGGAGACCGTGCAGTCCATCAGGATGACGTGGTCTTCGCTGATGTCCTTCGGCAGCCGCAGGTAGTGGAGCTGGGTGGAGGAAAGAGAAGGAGAAAGCAGCTTAGAGGCTGCAGGAAAATGGAGCGACCTGAGCCCTTCTCTTTGAGGAGTGAAGGATCCCTCCTGCCTCTCTGTCCCTGGCCCCTGGCTGTCAGCTCAGAGCCAGCACAAACCAGCCCCTGTGTGCACAAGTCTGCTGGCAAAACCCACCTGAGCAGCTTCCAAAGCAATCAACCCCTGCCAAGACAAATTGCTGGATTGCTGAAAGGCTGTCAGGAAACACCTGAGCCACGGCCCCACCCTGCATGCAGGTTAACACCAGGAGATGCCCTCAGCAGGCCAGGCTGTACCTCTGGCTCGCCGGTGTTGCAGTTGGTCTGGATGAGGATGGTGCCGATGCGGACGTCCTTGCACACCGCGCGCAGCGCCGGCTCCATGGTCTCTCCCGCTCGCAGGATGGACACCCCGGTGATCTGCAGCACACAGCCGGGGTGGGTGCACGGGGTAGGAGCTGCCACCACCCCACACTGGGTCTCAGCAGCGGGGGACTCTAGTGGGCAACCTAAAAGCACATCCCTTCCAAGAGCCCCAGTCCACCCTCAGTGAGAGGGCATGAGTGGCACAGTGACACTGCTGATGGCACCCTTGGGCACCAACCTGCCTTTCCTGGTGGTACAGGGTGTCATACTCATGACACCAGGCAGCAAACCCAGCCTGATGGCAGCCAGGACTTCCAGTGCACCCCCACGAGGCAGGTCTCAATGGCTTCCACTTACTTGCTTCCCGCTGTATGTCCTCCCTTCGTAGTCATGTCCCTGAGGGGTCTGGACTGTGCAACTCTACAAAAAACATGTGAGAAGAGTTACCAGGGGCTCTGATGTAGCTCTCATGGGAGCCCTGGAGTCAGCAAGCAAGGGGTTGAACCCTTGGACACAAAGGCTGGACAAAGAATTGTCACCCAGGGCCACAGCACTGCTCCATGGCCTTGGGGAGTCCTGGTGCTTTTTAATCCAATGGCCCATGGGGAAGGTTGGAGGAGCAGCACCAGGACAGTCCTGGCTCCCCAGCAGTTGAGGGTTAGGAATCAGAGAGGAAACCCAGCACCTACAGCCTTGACCCACCTGGAAGGGGAGCAGGGAGAGCGCGTGCTCAATCAGCAACCGCATCAACCTTTTGGAGTAGAAAATGAACTCGTCTCTGCTGGTCTCCTTGTTTCTAGAGGGGAGGGAAAGGCAACGTCAGCTCTGGACCAAAATGTGTCCCAGGAGATGCTGCCAGAGGCCTGGCAGTCCCTGCCCCTTCCTGGTTCTTGTTTGCACCATCTGAGCCTGAAACTGTGCTGTCTTTTTCAAGGTAAAAAGCAGAAAACTGTTGGCAAGACCACTGAGCAGTAACTGCACAGCTCCTCTATGCAGGGGCCATGACCATCTGCTCTATCTTGTGTCTCCAAGCCATACTGACAGGCAAAAGTGAGACTGGGAAGCCCAAAGACAGGCCAGCCCATCCCATGAGCAGCCGAGCCCCATCCCACCCCAGGAGCCACGGCAGGGGCTTTACCTGATGATGGTGTGCATGCCCCTCACCTGAGGGGTGCTCTTCAGCACACTGAGGGTCTGAGGAAGGGGGTGGCACTGGTGGGCAGAGGCCAGGGCAGCCCTGAAAACCAAACACATGGTCAGAAGGTCTGGGGAAGGCTGCCTGAAGGCTGGAGCACAGCACACGGGCAGAGCCATCCTCCCAGATGTCATCTCACACTGCAAACACACACAGAGGCCATCCAGCTGAGCTGAGTGAGCAGCCAGCCCTGCCTGGTCCCTGCCATGGCAAAGGGACCCACAAACCAGGGCCACTGGAGTTAGGGTGACCTTGCAGCCCAAGGACCTGCCCTTCCTGCTGGACAGCTCACCCAGGATCACAGAATGGTTTGGGTTGGAAAGGACTTTAAGGACCATCTTGTTCCAGCCCTGTGCCATGGGCAGGGACACCTTCCACTATCCCAGGTTAATCCAAGCCTCATCCAGCCTGGCCTTAAACACTTCCAGGGATAGGGCAGCCACACCTTCTCTGAAGGTGGCTGGCCCATCTTGGTTTCCACTGCTTGGGAAGAAAGTAGAAAATAAAATCAAAACCTTCTCTTATTCCAGAATCTTATCTATTGATGGATCTTGGACCCATGGGGTGAGGAGGGGCTGTTGTGGCTGTCTCTGACCTACAAGTGCCAGATGTCACGAGGAATTGGACAGGCAGCCAGGCTGGCACATACCTGGAATGTGACTATTCCAGAGACCACTTGGCCCATTCCAAATTGGGAACAGCTTCAAGACTTTCTGGCTGGACAGGACTGGCTCTGTGTGACTCATTCCACATAACGAACAGGGCTGGGAGCTATTCTGGGATCAAGGGAACACCATTCACGGGGAAGGCACAATGGAGCCCCATTAGTCACTTCTCCCTGGGAGAGTGGCAGTAATGAGAAGAAGGTCACATTTGGCTTCCACAAGGCTGGGCAGGATGGACAGGCAGCTCTGTCTGGGAGGAGGGCTGGGGTTGGAAAGCCACACGTCAGATCACACACGTGCCAGCAGCTGCATCCGGCAAAAAACACAGAGATGTCAGGGAGGCAGGGAAGGGAGCAAATGAAAGCACTGCGTGATTAAGTTTTCAAATCAAGCAGAAACCTGGATTAATGGCACACAGAGGCACGCAAGCAGAAAGGAAGACAGAGAAGATGGACAGGCATGGAGGAGGGCAGAGCTTGATGCCTCCGTCCACACAGCCATCTCCTGGTCTTGGCCAACCAACACCAAATGAGACATTCCCAAGGCCTGTGGGTACTTAAGGGCTCCTTCTTGCTTTACCAGCTCCACTCCTCTGTAGCACCCAAGAGCCCCATGCACGGAACACTCCAGGACAGCTGGCAGCCATGCAGAGAGCATGGATGGGCTGTGGTTCCCCCGTGGGCTTGCCTGCTGCGTGCAGACCCCATTGCTGGTTGGGACAAGCAGCCCTCAAGCCCTGGCCCCGCTGTCAGTGAAGCAAGCTCACTCCGTTAGTCGCTGTCCCATGGGTTAGAAGCCTTGGAGATGCTCCCTGCTGGCAGCACCCACAGCTCAGCCCCCACAGCCCTCCCTTCCCTCTCCTGCCAGAGCTGGCCTGGGGACAGATCCTGGGGGCACAGCCCTGCCTAAAGCCCTCTCAGCCCCTGGGATGCCAATACATGTGGTGGTGAGGGCCTTGGCAGACGCTGGGGCTGGCATGGGGGCTGCCCTTTGTGGGGCAGAGACAGGCCCCAGCACAGAGCCACACACCCGCACGTGGTCCTGGCTGGGTTTGCCCAGGTGACAAACTGCTGCTGCCTAAACCAGAGGAGCTGTTTGGGTCATCTCCCATCACCACAGCTCACCAAGGAGCACAGGACTAAGCATGCCACTGGCACTTTTCCCCTCCATCACTGCCAGGTCCATGTCACAGCATCCCACCATGCCAGTGGAATGGGCAGCCCTTCTCCAGTCACGGTGTGACCTGACTCCTGCTCCCTGCCACAGGTTACAAGGGTTTTCCAACCTCCATGAGCAGTGGGAACACCTCCCCAGCATCCCAAGCTGCCAACAGACCCCCAGGAAATGCTGTCAGCATTCTGTCACCAAGTTTTCCACACCTTCCTTTGACACCCACGCAGTGTGGGGACAGGAGGTCTGGATACCCCCCTGCTTGGAAGCCACTCAGTGTTGTGAGGGTCTCCCCATGGTACTTTCTGGGGAAACAGGACCTATTTTAGGGATAAAGCTTCTCTTTCAAGTGCCCCCACCTCTGTGTGGCCTGCACAGCCCCAGCAAAGCAGGACCCCATGAGCTGCCTGCCCCAAGACCCCCTGGCTGGGTTAGTGAGGCGGCTCACCCTGCACAGCCCTCGCCCACTCCCCGCCGTTAGTCACAACCAAACACTGCCATAAGCATTTGTCTCCTCACATATCCCAGCGCAGCTTCCTCTGGTCACCCGGTGGGAGGGATGTTCAGGGGAGACAAGACAGGAGACACCAGAGTTTAAGAGGAGAGGGACAAACGTGACATGAAACAGAGGAGAGAGCACTGTCATTAGTCAGAGGGGGAAAAAATCCCCTAATTGATCGCTGGCTCTGGGACCTGCCCGGTGCCTGGGCCATCACCGTGCAGACACAGCACTCCTCCCTTGGTGACCAAGGCATGTCCCCACTGCTCTCCACAGCACTGCCTCCACTCCTGGCTCCAAGAGGGAAAAGAACTGTCTGCTCTCACTGTCCTGGAGCCACAGCAGGGACACTGTCCCACCTGTGTCCCAGGTAGCACCACACTGCAATGGTGGCTCTTGGAGTTTGGAGGGACGTAGAGCCATAGAATGCTAGAATGATTTGGATGAGAAGGAACCTTAAAGATCAGCTCATTCCACCCTCCCTGCCACGGGCAGGGACACCTTCCACTAGACCAGGTTTCTCCAAGCCCCATCCAGCCTGGTTCTCCACACTTCCAGGGCTCATGCCAAGCCCTCACTGAGGGCTCCAATGCAAGCTCAGAGCAAGCAGAGGGATTCAAGGCCAATAACCTTTGTCCAACCTAAAAATCCTCATCCAACCTGCCCTGATCCCAAGCAAAATGCTTGTGGGTTGCCAGGGGTGTTCCCCTCCTGAATGATGATGATCTCCAAGCCTTGGAGAACATTGAAAGCCAAGAGCATTGGAAATGTGGAGAGAAACCTGGCTCTGAACAGGACATCTCCTGCAGGGATGACTTTCCTTCTCCCAGGCTCACCATGGCTGGAGAGGGCCTGCAGGCTGAGGGAAGAGCTCAGCCCTTCCAGCAGCCATCCACTGCCACCCCCTGCCCATCCTGGGAGGGAAGGAGGGACTGTGATGCCTCCTGTCCCCCCCTGCCAACACAGGACTGTGACAGAACACCCAGATGGGCAGCCATGAGCACGTCAAGAAAACGTCTTATTTTGGAAACTTATTTTTTCCCCCTGAGAACAAAGGCTTTAAAGGGAAAATAAAATGGAAAGAAGAAGAAAGAGAGAGAGAAAGGGGTGACCATCTCCCAGGAAGGCTTCAGGGAGCATCCTTGGCTCTTTGTGGAACATGCTATCGAGCAGGAAGCAGACAAGAGACATCCAGCTACAAAGGAGATGATGCAGTCAAGGCATTTCAAACACGTACACGGCTGCCTTTCAGGGCTGACATTTCAAACAAGGGCTATTAAACTGCGCCACGGGTTGATATTTAAAGACACAATTGGCAAAGGGCACGCCAAGCTGATCGGGACCCTGGGGGTGGGGAATATTGATTGGTGAGGGAATGGGCTGGAAAGAGCCGGCTCCAGAGCGTGGCAGAGGGATGGAGAACAGGCTGGGCTGGGAGCAGTGAGCCTCAGCATGGGCTGGCTGCTCCAGCTCCTGCTGCCAGGCTCCAGGAGGAATACCCACCTGGGAGTGCTGTATGGAACAGCATCTCCAGCATGAGCACAGCCAAACAGGGGGGAAGCTGGATAAGAAATGTCCTAAGAATGCTAAGGTCCAAGCTGTGCTCTGAGGGATTAACTGGGAAGGCAAGCATGCTCCTCAGGAACCAGTGGTTTCAGAATGAAGACAAGCCTTGCATGTCCAAGGAAGGCACCACAGGCTTTAAACCCCCCAGAATTCACCCATCTGAGTGGGGAGAGGCACTCCCTGCCTGTCCCAGCCAGTCACTTGGCCAGGAGAGGCAGTCCTGGGGCACAAGGACCACAGACACATCTGGGACTGGGGCCAGATCTGAGCATTCAGGTTTTATCCTACCAGCACAAAGCCCTCCCTGTGTCCCCAGCACTGCCAAACAGCAGGGACTTCAGAACAACTGTGACATTTAGATGAAGCCATTCCAGACAAGAGGATGGGGAATTGTTTGTGATGAAAAGCCCATATTTGCCAGGCACACCTCACTTGGTGTGACTCCATCCACCCTCTCTTGCAGAGAGACAGCAGGGCTGGGGGAGACCATGGCAGCACTAAAGCACTGGGGCTCCAGTAGCAGCAACAGATTTGGGTTTTTGCAGGAATTTTTTTCCAGATTTTCTGTCAAAGGCATAAATAGAAGCTTTAAACAGAAGATAAAACCACCTGTGGGTGTGGTGATCATGGAGGTGTTTCTGGAGGTCAGAATTACCTTGCTGAACTTGCTATCATAAAACTTCTAATACTTTATGGATATATTAAAGACCCAATTTTTAAGTACAGAAGAAGATCACCGGTACTGAGCAACCCTTTAATTAAGGAGAAAGACAGATATATACTTACACACACATAAAATTTCCTATCTCTATATACACATATCTATTTGCACACATATTAATTTCCTCTCTAGTTTTATTCCTGCCATTATTAAAGCCACACATTTCTCTTCATACTAAAGAGCACTTTCCCACCTGGACCTCCAGACACAGAGGGAAGCTTACGTGTCTGTATGGAAATATCAGGCCCCAGGGTGTTAAACAAGCAAAGGGAAATAAAATAAAACATCCACTTGTCTAGTCTAGGAAGTGACTGGCTGCGGCAGAAATAAGTAAAGCAGAGCCTTTTCCCTGCTCATCTCAGTTATTTTAAAAGCTCATTGTATGCCAAATGTAAATCTTAAGGTTACTGGAGTTGAGTGTCTCCATGCAATGATGGAGATCTAAATGGAAACCCATCTTCAGTAATGCATTCCCTCTGCTCCTGAAAGAATACCTGAAAGCCTAGGTGGCTTCTTAATGGAAGCAGGAGAGCTGAAATCCCATCTGGGGCCCCATGCTGAAGAGGTTAATTCAATATATATGTTATTTACAGCATCCACCCGAAGATACTGAGAATTTAGAAATCCTGCTGGATTTAGGCAGCAGGATTTTCTCAGTCCTCCAGAAGCTGAGGGAAAGTTGGTACCTCTGGCCATGTGAAGGTGCTACGCTCCTGTGGGTGCCTCCAGGCAGATCCTTGTGTGCAGTGAGGGGCCCAGGGCTCCCACCACCCTCAAGGTCAGATTGGTTTGGCCTGGGAGGGACCTCAAAGACCATCTTATTCCAACCCCTTGCCATGGGCAGGGACACCTTCTACTGTGCCAGGTTGCTCCAAGCCCCATCCAACCAGGCCTTGGACACTTCCAGGGATGGGGCAGCCACAGCTGCTCTGGGCACCCTGTGCCAGGGCCTCAGCACCCCCACAGGGAAGAATTTCTTCCTATTACCCAATCTAAATTTCTCCTCCTTTAGTTTAAAACTGTTCCCCCTCATTCTATCACTATCATTTAAAAAGTCACTCTCCACCCTTTTTTCAAGGTTTTTCACCCTGTAACTAATCTAATAATTGATGCTTAACAATCTTTAATCATCAGGGATGGAGAGCAGCTCTGAAAATCGTTCATTTTAGAGGACGAACAGAAATAAAAGAGAACCTCAGGATGCAAAGCCTCCCCTCCAGCAGATTCCAGGGATCCCCAGGTGCAAACCTGGCCCTGTCCCAGCCTCAGGGGTCTGCACTCAGGCTGGCAGTACCTCCCTGGGGAGCAGCCCTGTCCCTGCCACCCCGAAGCCAAGGGCAAGGTGGCCCTTTGTCGCCGTGCAGGTGACAAGGCCGTGCTCTAGGCGAGCTGCTGGTCCTGCCGTGGGTCGGGGTGAGGCCAAGCAGTGCCTGGCATTGGAAATGCCTCGGCTGCACAGACAGGACAGAGTGAGGGCTCTTACCTGACACTGAGTTCACGCTGCGGCAGCAACACAAAGACACAACGCAACCGGTATTAAGCATTGTCAACACCAGGGTCGTTTCAAGACAGAAAAAAAGGAAAAATAGGAGTATTTTCCTGAATTCACATGCAGCCTTTTGCCCTTCTTCCCCTCCCCAGGTCAGGAAAGCCCTCCCCAAGCCAACCCCTTGCCTGGCTCACAGTGGCACCCTGGGGGTGCTGGGTTTGCTGTGGCATTCCCTGGCTGGGTCCCAGGAGCTGGGGGAAACAGCCATTCCCCTTTCCTGGACTCTGCCTCAGCCTGGCACTAGCAGAGATGCTGGATCCTTCCTCCTGTGACCAAGGGTTTAGAAACCACCTTCCCAACCAGAGTTTGGTGCTGGGAATTCAGGCAGCCAGGTACTCCAGGAGGAAGAAACTGCCAAGACACCTTTGCCAAGAGCAGTCCCTCCTGAACAGGCACGGGAAGCTGGATGCCAAGGTGTGCCAGCTCCCATCCCAGGGCTGAGCAGCTCCTGCCACCTGGGAGCTCCAAAAAAAGACTTGAAAGAGTCAAGCCCTTTGTTTTCCAGTGCATCTATATCCAGGTCACACTCCCTGCACTTCCCAGGACATCACTCTGAGCATTTCCACGACTGAAACATCACCAAAGCTATGGGGTAGGAGGAGACTGCTGCTCAGGGACAGCAACACAAAATGCCATCAGTTCACTGCAGGGTCCCAAACCACTGGTTGGGACTGGCCCAGGACCAACAGGAGAAGACTTAAAGCCAGGAGTGGGGAAGTGATGGAGCGTGGGCCTGGATTGAGGCTCAAATGTGACAAGACTTTGAGTTTTGAAACCCAGGAGCTGCACGCAGCACAGAAGAGGAGAAGTGGGCTCCTTACTGGAAAGATTGCAGCAGTGTCTGCATGGGAGGGAAGAGGAAAAGACCAGGAGCAGTGGAGGGTATGGGGCAATGCTGGCCCTGGGAGGGCTGCAGACAGGGGGACACATCCCTTGGGCCACGGGAGGGTGGCTGGTTTGTCCCCTCATGACTTGCTGTCCCAGGGAGAGAAGGAAGCTGCAGCTGGACCACAGCTGGCAGAGGAGCCAGGACCAGAGCACAGGGAGAAGGCAGTTTCCTCCACGGGACTGAGGGAAAGGGCTGGGAGGAGTTCACAGGAACTCCCACACCCAGAGCACAGGAGAAGCCAGGCCATTCCCACCTGGGCACCCAGAGCACAGCTCCCTGCCAGGCAAGGCTGTGAACCCCCCTCAGCACCCAGGGACCAGGCAGCTCTCACCTCTTCCAGCTGGCTGTGGACGTGCTGAACAATCAGGTCGATGGCCACAGTGTTTCCACTCCCTGGAGGGACCCAAAAGCAAAAGAATCACAGAATCAGGATTGTAAAGGTTGGAAAAGCCCTCTAAGATCATTGAGTCCAACCATTAAATCAGCACTGCCAAACCCACCACTAATTCACGTCCATTAGGGTTACACCTGGGGTTAGGGCTCAGAAAATCACAAAGCCCAAAGTTCCAGGGACTCTGCAGCTACAAAAGGCATGCCAAGGGGAACACAGAACTGTTACATTTATATTTTCTGAAAAATCCCTTTGCCCAGGATTTTTCTCCTGAGAAGCCTCAGAAAAAAAAGGAAAACAATTTTATCTCATTTGCCTCTCCTGTGTTTTGCTGCCTTGGAATGTGTTTGGAGATTGTTCATCCAACAGGTTGCTGTAAATTGTTTTAACTTATTGGCCAACCAATGCCAAAGTGTGTCAGGACTCTGGAAAGAGTCGGGGGTTTTATTGTTATCTTTTTAGCCTTCTGTAAGTATCCTTTCTGTATTCTTTAGTATAGTATAGTCTAATATTCTATAATATAATATAAATATAATATAATAATATAATATATAATATAATAGAATATAATAATAAATTAACCTTCTGAGAACATGAAATCAGATTCATCATTCCTTCCTGCCACGAGGGCACCCCGCAAATACAATAGAGGACTGCCACACCATGGCTGCCCCACATCCATGTGCTTGGCACCAGCCTTACCCCATGAGGTTCTACTGCCCTGCCTAGGGTTAGGGTTAGGCCTAACCTCTGCTGGGTCAGGCCTAGTAGAACCATGAGGTTCCACTGCTCTGCCTAGGGCTACTCCTCGGGTTAAGGCTCAGAAAACCACAAAGCCCAGAGGGCTGGGGTGCTGTGGACTGCCCTGGGCAGGTACCTCGGGGCACCACGATGTCTGCCAGCCTCATGGTGGGCTGGATGTACTGGTCGAAGGCGGGCTTGACAAACTTGTTGTACTGCTTGATGACGCCCTCGATGTCGCGGCCGCGCTCGCTGATGTCCCGGCGCAGGCGGCGCACCAGGCGGATGTCCGAGTCCGTGTCCACGAATATCTTCAGATCCAGGAGCTGAAAGGAGAGGGGAGGGGACAAATCCCACCTGGTCAGGTGTGGGACTCAACCCACCTTCCCCTGCTGCCCCAAGCGGGGCTGAGCCCAGCCCAGTTTAACAGGCCTGGCTCTGCTCCAGCCTGAGCAGAGCTTTTCCCTGGAACCTGCCTGGTGCTGCTGTCAGCCCCCTGCTGCCACCTTATTCCCACATTCCCTGAGATCTGTCCTGCTCCAAACTCTGTCCCTACTGCCAACCAGCTCCAAGAATTTGGCTGGATGTTATTTAAGAGCAAGGAGGAGATGAGGAGTTACTGTCCGTGACACACACCAAACACTGGCTTCCTAATCAAAGAATCCTTGGACAGTTTGAACTGGAAGGGACTTTAAAGATCATCTCATTCCAAGCTTCTCCCACGGGCAGGGAATTAATGCTGGCAAGGAGCCAGCACGGCAGGGCAGCTCATGACTCTGTCCTTAACTGCAGGAGGCAGGAGTGGGGATGCTGAGCGGAGTCTCCTGGGGGATTCACCCAGCTGCCCACTGGAGGTCATCCTTGCTCCAGGAAAGTGCAACCCAAGCTCTCACTTGGCAGGGGAGGAAACTTTTCAGACAGAGCTTGGCTGAGTCTGTGTATGGCTCACTGCCTGCTGCAGCATTTGTCAGGGCTGCAAAGATGCTCTGAGGGATGGAGACAGGCTGAGAGAGCTGTACAGCCTGGAGAAGAGAAGGCTCTGGAGAGACCTTAGAGACCTTCCTGTACCCAAAGAAGCTCCAAGAGAAATGAAGAGGGACTTTGAACAAGGATTTGGAGTAACAGAACAAGGGGAAGTGGCTTCACAATGCCAGAGGGAAGGGTTAGATGAGATACTGAGAGGAAATTTGTCCTTGTGAAGGTGCTGAGGCCCTGGCACAGGGTGCCCAGAGAAGCTGTGGGTGCCCCATCCCTGGAAGTGCTCATGGCCAGGTTGGACAGGGCTTGGAGCAACCTGGGACAGTGGAAGGTGTCCCTGCCCATGGGTGGGACTTGGAACAAGATGAGCTTTAAGGACCCTTCCAACCTAAACCATTCTATGGTCCTATGATATATCCAAATAAGCCCCAAGAGAGCCTGAAGTGCTGGATGATTCCAGCTAGGAACACCAAGCTCTGTGCAGCAGAATTTCAGCAGACTTTGCCTCTGGCTGTGCAAACTGCAGCTTGCAGTGTGGAGGTGGGCTATTTCCAGTTGTGTTTATGCACCAGCACTGCCAGGAACCAGGTTATACTCAGCTCCTGTTTCCTGGGCACGAATGGCTGAGATTGAGGTATTTGTTGAAACACTTGACCTCTGCCAGGGGCTTTTCCCTGGCTGCTGAGAGTCAAAGCCTGTTTCTCCTACTCAGGGAAGTGCTGCAGCATCTGGTGTAACCTGGAAGAGAAAGCAACCTACCTGCTGCAGGACCTCAGGAGAGAGCACCCTCCCACCATCTCCCCCTGGAACTGCTTCAAAACCTTTCCTCACCTTCAGGAGCTCCTTGTCTGCAAATGCCATGATGCCTTCAAAGATAATCACATTGGCGCCATACAGGGTTTTCTGTGGAGTCAAAATGGATGTGGTCAGGCACAGAACCTCTGTTCAGAGGTGCCCTGTCCCAGGGAATCTCTCTGGGTTGTGACTGTGACAGCTCACCCAAAAAGCACACCCTGAGCCAGGCAGGGTGACAGCACCAATCTGCAAGGGCCAGGGCTGGAGGGGTGCAGCTGGCTGCCCCTCTGTCCTGCCCTGGCCATCCCCCAGCTTGTCCCACCCCCTCAGGGTGCCATACCCATTCCTTCTTGCGGCTGTGGGTGGTGAAGTCGTAGATGGGGATCTTGACACTCTTGCCTTGCTTCAGCTTCTTCAGGGTGGCGATGATGAGGTCGAAGTCAAAGGCGTCGGGGTGGTCAAAGTTGAAGTCATTGCTGGCTGCCTGCTCCTGCTGCTGCTTGGTCAGCACCTGCCACAGAGCAGAGCTTCGGGCACACGGCTGGGCAGCGCCCTCCCCACTGCTGAGCCCAGCCACTCTTCCCTGCCCCACAGGAGCCACTGGAAGGGAAAACCACGTGGCTGCCCCTAAATCTATAAGGTTTCCTTACCAGGGTTACCACATAATCCCAGACTGGTATGGGTTGGAAGGGACCTTAAACCTCTTTTCATTCCACCCCCCTGCCACAGGCAGGGACACCTCCCACTAGACCAGGTTGCTCTAGGCCCTGTCCAACCTGGCCTTGAATGGGGAAACCACAGCTTCTCTGGGCTACAGCAAATTGAGGAGCCTGGCCATGCTAACAGGGGTGCAGCCTCACCTTGTAGAAGGAGTCCATGGACAGCAGAACCACCCAGGGAACATCAAGAGCTTCAATGATCATGGTGGCCACTGTGGTCTTCCCAGAGGCGCTGCCTCCTCCCAGGCCTGCCAGGGAAAGGTGATGAAGCCACCAAGCCCAGGCACAGCCCTTCCTTCCCACTGTTGCACTAAGCTGGAGTGGCCTCCAAAGAGGGAAGTCACAGGCACTCCAAGAGATTATCCTGGAAAATGTCATGTACTGGAACTGCCAGCAACGAGCAGCATGGCCAGCAAAAGCTGGGAAGCCATTGTTAGATGGTTATGTAACACAGGGAGTGCTGGCATGGGAACCAGTCCAGACTGAATCCCTCAGAACCTGGGACAGCCCAAGCAACAGGAGCTGAGGGAACGAGAAGCAGAGTGTGTCTCCTACAGCCCATCACCCCCTGCACACTCTCAGGTTCACCCACCCAGCCAGTACAGGACTCACCACAGGGACCCCCCCTGCTCCTGCCCAGGCTGGAGCCAACCTCAAATTTCCAAGGAGGCGGCGGGGCAGAACTCCCACCAACACGTCCGTGAGAGCCACGTGGCAGGGCTGCAGGGGTGACCCACCTATGACAAAGGCCTCCTTGGACTGTGTCCCGTGCTCGTTGTACCAGGGGGGCCGGCCTGCAGTGTAGATGGTTCTCTTGCTGGTGCGCAGCAGCGGCGGCTCCGACTTGCACTGGCTGGTGGTGCGCTTGCGGGGCGCCTTGCTGGAGCCCACGGCGGGGTACAGCCGGTCCAGGGACTCAGCACTGCTGCTGCTGCAGGGAGGAAGGGCCACAGTGACCCCGCTGGGAAGGACACACGTGCCTGGTGTGTGGGAGAGGGGTCTTTGGGGGATCCTGAGTTGTACAGGGGAAGGGTGGGACAGCCAAGCGCAGCCCCGCTGCAGCACGACCAGCACCCACATCTCTGTGACCCACAGACAGCACTGAGGAATTCCCACACGGGAGCAATCTGAATCTGGAAGAGGTGCTGAGCAAATATCCATCCTTAAAGTCCTGCTGTCTGAGGAATGTCTGCGTGAAACAAATCCCCCAGTGAGCTCTCAAAGCTTTGAGGGGTGTGTTCCAGGGGGCAACAGCCCACCCTGGTGTGCAAGGGACCTTTCCTGGGGTTAGCAGTCAAACACATGGGTTACAGCACAACCATCCTCATCCCCTCCGTCCTCAGTCCCTTTTCTCTCCCCACTTTGAGTGCTCCACTCACACCCAAGACCTAGTTCTCCCAACCTTTTGTCCTGAAGCCTGCAAGCTGGGCAGAGCCATCAGCTTTGCCTTGGGAACTGAGAGAGCTCTGAGCTCACCCAAAGCCCTGCAGCTGCTGAACACTCTCCCTTATCTTCCCTGCTGGAGAGGGAGAGGAACAAGGCACCCTCCAGAGCCCTTTCCAGCTTGGCAGGAGGAGAGCTGTGGCTGGGAGGTGATAAGTGGCCTCTGGCCAGGAGATAAGCTGCAGCACTGCCTGGCCAGCTAAGGGACAGGGAGGATTATTTATACCAGGGCCTGCTCCTCCCTGCTCTGTTCTGCTGCCCCAGAGGGATGTCGGCTCCCTGGGAGAAAGTGCAAAGGGCTTTCCTGGCTCATGCTGTGCCTCTCCCCAGCCATGACTGGGTTGGAAGGGAGATCAAGAGATCTGGGCACCACTGGCTCCAAGCCATCACTGTTTGGTACAGCCCAGCCGAGCCAGCAGGGCTTTACTGCTGCTCTGTTATGGCTTGCTCTTGAAAAGGCTTAAACTGCAGGGCTTTACAGATTTTGGGTTGATTTTAAGCTGTTTCAGTATGAAGATTAATTCCCCTCCCTCCCCCAGCCCTTTTTAGAACAATTTTAGATAAAGATCAAAATTTTTAGATAAAGAAGGGCCATATGTGTGTGAAGTGACACGGCAACCCCCACACCTGCATGGCAAACAAACCCCCTGGGCACGGTGGGATCCCCCTGGCAAAGGATGCCCACAGCACACCATCCCTACCTCTGGCACATCCCTGTGCAGACAGGGATTGGCCTGGTTTTGCTGAACTCTGCTAACAAAAGCCAGGCTGCAGCTCCTGCCCCTGTGACAGGACCTGTCCCACCCATGTACACCCTAAGCTGTGCACTCATGGAGAGAGCTCAGGACACCAACACCCCATCCCACCAGCACACAGAGCCAGTTCCAAGCACTGCCAGGCTCAGGCTCAGCCCACAACACCCCAACTACGACTCTTTAAAAGCAACCCCAGGAGATGACACCCATTAGGAAACCTTCTGGGGTGTCTCCCTGTGAAAAAATGGCTCCTTGCAGGAGGAGAAGCAAACCCAGGCGGAATGTTTGGGTCTCCTCTGCCATGGGTGATGCTGCAGCAGCCACTGCACCCACTGGTGCTGCTCCCAGAGCAGGGCTGACAGCAGCTGCTGGTGCTGGGGCACAAACAACGTCACTTTCGGCGGGATTAAAGCAGAGGTGACACAAACACAGTTGTTTACCACAGGAGAAAGCGGGTCCTTTCATCCATATCCCAGCCCCTCTCCTGGGGCTCGCTCCAGAGCCGTGCTGCTCAGGCTGCTTCTCCTCTGGGACTGCACGTCAGTCTCCATGAGACAGGAGAGCCCGAGGGGCTCCTTGGTGTCACACAGCACCAAGCTCTGCTGTGCCAGCCTGCAGATCCTAACCCAGGCCACCATTCCCAAGTGACTCCCAGTTGGATGAAGCTGTTTTTCAGAGCTGGAGCAAGGCTGAGCTCTGCTGCCACCAGCATCATCACCCAGCTCCTGGCAGGGAGGGAGAGGCTTGGACTCCAACAGCTCCACCAGTGCTCAGAATTACAGCCACAGCCCCACCTTGCTTTCCCATCATCTCTCCACTCTGTTCTCCAGGGTGCCTGCAGCAGACCCAGGGTGTTGGCACAGAGGGGACATTGCTGCAGGATGCAGGGACACCCCTGGGAGAGGAGTGGAGCCATCCTCCCCCTGCACACCCTGGGCTGCTCTGGGATGCAGCACCTGAATCCCATCCCAACAGTTGGTGTTCTTGGCCTTATCTCATTCAAATAATTCTGGACTATCACCAAAATTCTACACATTTCTATCAGTATCATCTAAACCTGCACATCCATGCCTCATCTACGCCTGTATCCTCTACAGGCAGATGATATTCTACACCTCTCAGATCCACAATTCCCATGATTTATTTGGGACAAGGATGGCTGTGGGACTGTAGGGCTGTCCTGGAGTTCTCCAAAGGTCATGCCTTTTCTCCTAATGTTACACTGCAAGATTTGTAGATGTTTTCCGTGCTGCCTTTGCCAGGAAGGGGCTCTTCTTGCTCCAAAGGGCTGGCTGATCTCAGCCATCTCCACTGGCCATTTCTCCCTAATCCTTTTCAGAAATTCCCTGCAGCAGTGCTGAAGCCCCTGCAATGCCCTGTACAAGGTGAAGCCCCCAGAGAATAGGACTCTGTTTAGAGCTGGAGCCAATGCCACTGCTCTGCCCAGAGGAGGGTCCTTGTCCCACGTGGACCCTCCCCAGCAGAGCAAACCCCTGGGGTGCCAAAGCCACGCAAATAGGAAAGGAAACATCACCTGGGCTTGGCAGCCCCTCTCCTGCCAAGCCTTCCTGGAGGGCTTGGCTGCCACCAGCTCTCTGTAGACTGTCCCCAGCTTTTGGGGATGCTTTTTCCTTCCCTGCAGATGCTGCATCCTTGCTGGAGTGCTGTAGGAGAATGAATTACAGGCAACCTTGCACCTGGATAAGCCACAGCTGTGCTAATTACCAAAACCAGCCTTGCCCTTAATGGATCACAGCCGTGACCAGCAAGGATGAGTGGTTAGTGGCTGGGGGAGGTCTGACCAAACAGGAGAGAGAATTGCTGCTGTGAGGGGTCTGCTGTGAGCTCACTCTGAGCCTGCAAGGGAAGCCACAGTGGGAGCCTGCTGTAGTCAGAGTCTGTGAGTATTGAAGTCTGTTGGCTGAGCTGTGAGGAAGAATAAACCAGGACCTTGGCACATGCTGATGAACCAGAGTGTGTGTCTCGGCTCATTTCTATCTCTGCTGTGAGCTCTGCTGTGACAGCGTGTCCCAGAGGAAGCCTGGGGGGGTCCTGCTCCTCAGAAGGGCTCTCCAGCTCTGCTGTTGTGCCAGCACAAATGAAGGAAGCATTTTGCTCCTGCTTAGTCCAAGCACAGATTTACTGAGGTGCAAGGTGCTCTCCTTCCCCATGGCCATCCCTGTGCCCAGGCTCTCTGCATCCCACTGCCTTCAGAGACCCCTGCCCACCCTGGATCCATGCCGGGCTGGCAGAGCAAAGGCAGCACGTCCCAAAAGCACCCACAGCAGCAAGGAAAGATGGCACAGCCCCAAACCTGAACTTGGCAGCAGACAGGAGAGCATGTCCTGGGCTCTGCGCCCCGTAAACAACCCACAGACTGAGCTCCCAGCCCTATGGACCCCCCAGCAGCCCCCCACAGCCTGCTGAGGTGCCTGGCTGGCTGCAGCCACGTCCCGTGGGAAGCTGATATTTTCAGACAGGAACTGGGGCTGAGGGACTGGGACAGGAGCCACCAAGAGCTCACTGCAGCAAACAAACAGACAAAAAACGGCAAATTCCACCCAAAACCAAAGCAAGACTCACCCGCCATCTGGCCCAAGGGCCCAGCAGCCGGAGATGCGGACGCTGGAGAAGGCTGGGGGGCTGCTCATGTCCCCCTGTGTCCCCCTGCCGCCGGTCCAGGGGTGATCCTGGACTGAGGCTGTCACCCCCTGTCCCCGTCCACACCTCAGCTCCTGTCCCACAGCCCCTGGCACTACCAGGGTGAGGGAGGGGCTCTGCCAGCGGGGCTCCCAGGGTGATTCTCGGGCCACAGAGCCATGTGGGGAGTGTCCCCCTGGAATGGGCACTGAAGGGTCCCGGGAGAAGGGGGCGAGGCAGAGCCCAGCAGAGCTGGGGGCTGGAAGATGGCGGCAGGGAAGGGAGCAGAGCAGGGGGAGTGTCTGTGCCCGGGAGCTGCGAGGCGGTCAGCAGCATAAGAGGATAGCTTAACCTCCAGATTACGTTCATTACCTGATATTAATAGCACTGGCTTGATTAAAGAAAAAGAGGGGGGCTGGGGATGAGGTGACACCTCCCCTCACCGCCCCCAGCACAGGCAATAAACACCAGCCCCAGTCTCTGCTGCTGGGACTGGGGGTGCTCGGCGTCCTGGCTGTGGGCTCACAGGGAGGGCACCTGCAGAGGGACATCCACATCCCCCGGCACTGGTGAGTTCCCAGGGACTTCTCCACACCACTGGGGAGGGGGCTGCAGCGGGCAGGAGGGGATGACCCCGGGGCAGGGGTACCCAGCCAGCAGCCCTCATGCAGCTGGTGGAGCAGCTGGGGCTCGGGGCCAGGGGCTGCTGACCATGTAGGGCTCTTTGGTCCAGGACTCCCACCCCTCTCCCTTGGCTCCCATCAGTGGGGGGTCTGCCTGAGGGCCCCCCCTGGTCACTCAGCTTCCCCAAGAGCTGCCCCTCAGCCCTGGAGTAAACAAGTGGGTGAAACTCAACACCCCGGGGCTGCCGGTGGCTAAGAATAACATCCCTCTGGCCGTGCCCAGCCATCCACTCCCTCTCCCTCAGCACCCCTGCCAGCTGCCCCTGCCCCCCCTCTTCCAGCACCAGCCTCTCCAGGGAGGGCAGGGAGCCTGGGCAAAACACGGGAAGCCCAGGGAGCCAGGCAGCTGCTGAAGGGCAGGACACGTGCCAAGGGTGGGAGATGCTGGGCACCATGGCAGGGGGGTCCACGCCAGCCCTGGGGCAGAGCAGTGCTGCCAAGGAAGGGAGGAGGTGGCACAGGAGGGCAGCCAGGCTCTGCCAGGGGCACAGAGCACCCGGACAAAGTCCCGTGGCCACCAAGTGAAACGCCAGCATGGTGAGACAGGAGCTTGGCCCCTGCACACCCACTGCTGAGGGCTTCCAGGCAGGGAGCTCCCTCCTGCTCAGCACCAACACCTGGAGATGGGGCCAGAAATGGAAAAAGACCCTTTCTTCCTCCTCCTCGAGCCATCAAGGTTATTCCAGAGGCAGGTGAAACACACTGCCTCCCAGACTTGTCAGGAAACCCCTCCTGCTCCTGCTCACCCTCACGAAGGGGACCTGCAGAGCATCATCTCAAAAGAAGGAAACCTGATGGGAACCAGAAATGAGGGGCTGCTCCTGAGGCAGGGGAAGGGACAGGAGGGTTTTGGGGTAACCTGTCCCCAGCACGAGCTGCAGCTGCTGCCCCAACGTCAGGGAAGGGAGCGATGATCAAAGGAACTTTTCCATCCCTGGTCTCTGCCTGGACTCCCCTCTCGCTGTAAAAGCTCTCTCAGAAGTTTAAAAATAAAATTCCCTTCCGGAGCCATTTCTGTTCCTTCTCATTAAAGAAGCAAAAAAGCAAAGGGATGCGGGACACGGGTGAGGAGCCCTGGCCCAGGGATATTGTTCCTTATCGCCTGCTCCTGCTGCCACTTTTCCTGCCTTTGTTAAATGTCCAGGCAACAGGAGCAACTCTCCCAGCATCCCACCCACCATTCCCACTGGGCTCCCAGGTGGGACACCCTGGCTCCAAAGGCCAGCTGTGACTGAGCCTTCCTGCTGGCACACATCTCTGCCTCCCAAGCCCCTTCCCAGCTTCTGAGCTCTTGCACAAGTTGAAATTTCTGGGTTTTGGACTTTTTTCTTCCAGTGATTTTTAAGCAAATCCCTCCTCTAACAGCAGACTTAAAATACAGCAAAAGAGGAAAGCAGGCACAAAGGCCAGGGTCCCCTTTTCCTTCTGCTGCTGGCAGCTGCTGGGTGGGTTTCCCCTGAGATTCAAGGATGGAAGCTGGACTGCATGTGGATTTTCCTCGTTTGGTCACAAGTGCTGTCACTGGATTGGTGTAAGAGCTGCAGACACACCAAGCCCCCAGTGGAAGATGCCTGTTCCCAGGAGAGGATCCTGCTCCCAGAGCCCATCCTGGGAGCAGCACCCACAGGAGCGTGGAGGTCAAACCTGCTCCCTCCATCGCTGAGTTGGGCTGGATCCAGCTCTTGGCTGGGCCTTCCCTGTCCAAGAAACCATCCCAAGGGATGAAGGAACACAGCCAAGGAATGGAGGAACATGTCCAAGGGATCAAAGAACCTGCCCACGGGATGGATGCACCTGCTTGAGGAATGAAGGAACCTGCCCATGGGATGGAGGAACCCACACAAGGGATGGAGGAACCTGGCTGCCATCCCTCTGTCACATGCCATGTCCATGCCCATCCTGGAACCCACGGAACGTCATTCCCAGTTTACCCAGCCTTGTACAAAGCTCTGTCCTGGCCGGAGCCACTGGAACTGATGGTTCATCTCAGCAGCTCCACGCTCAGAGCTTCCAGCTCTGTTATGGTCTCTGCTCTCTCACCACAAAAGGACAAACAATTCCCTCTGCAAACCCAATTATCTGTTGCTATTTATACCAAGTGGGAGCCACAGTGGAGGGGCTCTGTTACACAACCCAGTTACTCATCCCTCACTCCACCAGCACAAATCAGGGAGACTCCTTCCTCCCATCCTCATCCTCACCCTCATCCTCCCCGCCACCCTCATCCTCCCCGTTACCCACCACTGACTCACAGGAAGGGAACAGCAATGGGCTTAGCTGCTGGAACATGCAGGATGGGAACAGGAAGGAAGGGAACAGGAGGGATGGGAACAGGAGGGGTGCTTTGGCACCGACTCCAGGGTTGCTGGGGCAGTGCTGTGGGGTGTTGGTACCCTACAAGCAGGGATACAGGGATGCTCCATCCCTGTAAGCTTTGCCACATCCCCAGAGCACCAGTGATGCTCCAAATGCAATTCCCAGATACTTGATGTTTGGGAGCAGTCAGTCCCCTCGGGTTTGTTCTGAAAAAGGGGGTGGAAAATAGAGGGGAAACATGAGTGAGTGTGTGGGGGGCGGGGGCTCAGGGCAATCACCCTGTATGGGGGTTTTGGGTGGAAAAGTTTAGGTTGTCCCACTCTTCATCTTGATGGAGAGGATGCGTGTGCGAGCAAGCTTGGAAAATGGGAGGCTGTGGCTTATCTGCTGGGAAATTAAGGGCAAAAACCATAAAATAAGGCAAACAAGGGGAAAGGTAACAACATGAAAGGGAGCGGGGAAAAAAGGATGAAAATAAACAAGGGATAAAGCGGGGGTGGGAAGAAGCGGTCGGTGGGGAAGGCGAAGGGATGCCATGGGGCGCTGGGCTCGGGGAGGCCCCACTCGCGGAAGCGGCACCGCGGGGAACGGCAGCGGCACCGCAACCCCCGGAGCCGGCGGCACACCGGGAACGGCGGCCCCGGGGCGCCAGGGCACCGCTCCCGCCCCGCAGCCACCATCCCGGGGAAAAGCAAGCGGGGTCTTACCTGTCGTGCGGCTCGCCCGGAGCCCCCTCGGGCACCGGGGCCGCGGCCATGGCGCTGCGGGGAGAGGCGGAGCGGCGGGGGCGGCGCTGCCGCGGGGATCCCCGGGACTTGTAGTGCGGGTGGGAGGCAGCGGCAACCGGGCCTTTGGGGGCCCTGGTGGGGCACGGAGGGGTGCTGCGGTCACGGGTAAGGGCTGTGCGGGGAGATGGGGCTGTGCGGGCACGGCTGGGTGCTGTAGGGCACGAGGCTGTGGGGTGCGGGTGGGTGTTTGGAGGTGTGGGTGGGTGTTCGGGGCATGGGTGGGTGCTGCGGGGCTCACGGCGATGCTGTGGGTACCTGCGGGTGGATCCCTGCCCAAGATGCTGAGGGGTGCAGCACACAGCATCCCCCATCACCCTGCAGCGTGGGGAGCGCGGTTTGGGTGAGCCGGGCTCCGACAATGTCGCTGGGCATTGTCAGAGCTGGGAGGACCCCGGGGAGCCGGCCGGGGTCTGGTTTGACATGCAGCATCCCGGCCGGGCCGGCCCGGGGCTGAGGGTTGTGGTAGCACATGTTCGGGGGGCCAGCACCGCTCCCGGGTCCCCAGCCGTCCTTGGGGTGAGAGCCCCTGGGGAAAGGCTGCGCTCCCAGCCAGCAGCGAGGTCACTCCAAATCCGCCCCTGCCTTGGGTTCGGTGCCAAAAAAGCCATTAGGGAGCAGAAGAGGATTTATTCCCACGCTGGGAGAGCCGGGGGGTGGCCCCGGGTCCCGCAGAGTCCCCAGGGAGGAGAGGTCCTGGGCTGGATGTGGCCCCCGGGGCCAGGACACGCTGGATGCTGCTGGTGGGAGGGGCGGATTGGAAACAGCTTTAGGGGGATTTCTACCATGGGAGTGGGGCTGTGGGCACTGGGGATCCCCCTGCACCAGGAGTGCTGGCTGTGCCAAGCACCACCAGCCCTCACCTTCCCCATCCCGGTTTTTGGGGGCACCCCATGGCTGGTGACCACACGCTCCATCCTCACCAGCTGGGGAATCCTCTCAGCCACTGGCAGGAAGGACAAATCCAAACCCCCTGGATCCCATGCCCAACCTCCCACCGAACTTCCCAATAACGGTGCCGACAGTGCTAATAAAAAATCAATAACCATTTATTCGATACAGCTGTTTCATACATACAGTACAGGGAGCGCCTGGGCGCTGCTCAGAGCTGCTCAGACAGTACTCTCCAACTGAGGATTTGTCAATGATTAACAAAAGAACAGATCATCACAAATCGGGAGTTTATTATAAGATAGTTTACCGTTAAAACAATTTTATTTTTTGCAAATAAACACTTTTTAATATATATATTTATATATTTATATATATGGTTACAAGTGATAAATTGAAAATTTTTTTCCTTTTTTTTGTTTTTTTTTTTCCTGTTTTAATTTTTTCCCCAAAATACACTTATGCACTAATAACTGGCATCGACGAGAAACATTCGGATATGCCGTGGGATGGGTGTCACGAGGAGAGAAAGAAAAGAACAAAATGCTCTCAAGGTTCCTGGGGGTGGGAGATGCTCCAGGTCTGGGCAGCTCCATCCACTGTGCCCAGAGCTGGTGTGGCACAGCCAGCCTCACCAGGGCAGGTGTTGGTGCCAAGGGTTCCCCACAATCCAAGCTTTCCATGAGATCTTCCCACAGGCTTGCAGTCCATGCCTGCTCCCACGGAGGTTTAACCCTTTCCTGGGGGACATGGGATGGTGGGTTTCCCCAACACTGGAGGTGCAGGACCACAGTGTCACAGTGCCCAGGATGAAAAAATCCCCAAATCCCATGAGTGATGGAAGGGGACAGGACAACTCGTCCCCCATCTGGTCCCACAGCCTCTGCCTGTCCCTCTGGATCAAGGTGGTTTTCCCTCTGGCACTGCCTCACTGGGAGCACCGGGAGGGGCACAACCTGCTGGCCCCCAGCAGTGCCACTGTGGTGTCACTCGGCCCTGCCTGCTCACCTGTCGTGGCACTGGCAGGTGCTGGTGATCCCAGCATTGCTCTGGAACCTTCCCTGGACAAGCAGGAGAGTAAAGGATGTCTCATGGAGAAGGTGTGTGGGGGGGAGTATGTTCCTCTCCGAGTGATGACAAGTGGGGAAAACACCTTTTTTGGGGGGGGAAAAACCCTGAAGATTTCACTTTCTCATAGAAACTCCCTCCTGACCATGGTGCTGCCCTCACTGGAGCTGTGAGTGCTCTGAGGGTGACAGGGACAGCCCCAGCACCAGGACTGCCTGCCCTGAGAGCCCAGATGGTCCCTGGGGTCCCCTCCAGGCTGGTGTCACTCTGTGAGGCCACTGCAGCTGTCCCTGCTCGTGTCCATTCTCCTGCCAGACACTCATTATGGAAGCAGAGGTGGATTTTGATCCGGACCTCACGATGACCCCCTGAGCTGGCCCTTTCCCACGTCTACCCTGCCCTGAGCAGCTCCCAGGGCTCCCCCCCTGTGGAGCACAGTGCTGCCAGTTAATTTAATCAATGAGAAGCCAATTAATTGCATGTTAATGAGAACAGAGTCCCAGGGCATGCCCAAGGGGAGGCAGTGAGGATTGTGTGGTGACCATCCAAGCCAGCAAGCCAGGCTACCCAGATCTCCCTTCCCTAGGCCAGGACATGGAGCTTTCCTGGGGGCTTCCCTCCATGGCAGGACATGATTTTGGGATCCAGAGGCTCCCTCTGCACCCTCACAGAGATTTCAGTCCAGGCCCACAGCTCTGCCTTTCCCTTCCTGCTGCTGCCTGTGAGCTGTTCCAAGCTGTCCTACAGCTCCCAAAGCTCTCCCTGTTCCCCAGGGAGGCAGGATCTACCCCAGTGACACCATCCAAACATGATCTGATGAAGTGCAAGCAGCTGAGCTGCAGTGACTAATTAAGCTTTCTCACTAATTGCCTGGAGGCCCAGCAGCCAGCAATGCTCAGGCAGCTCCCTCACAGCCTCAGGCACGTGCCCAGCTCGCTGGGCAATGCAGAGGGTGGATCCAGGGGCCAGAGCTGTGGACAAGAGCAGAAGCCCTGGCCCCCTGAGAAACCACCCTGGCTTCAGCCACCACTGTCCCCCCTCCCTGGCTGGAATAACCTGCAGTGGAGGATGTTAGCTGTGACTGAGCTGCTGCTCGCAGCAGGGAAAGATACAGAGCCTCTGGTGGGAGACAAGGAGCAGTGAAGGAAAGCGAGGACTGAGGTTTGAACTGATTAAAGCAAAAGCAGAAGCTCCCCCTCTGATGCCTCTTTCCTGGCTCTGCATAGGGGAAAAATCGATTTAAAGTTTTCTGTTGTGCTACTGAGAGGAAACGTGCCCATTTCCCAAGGACCGAGGTAGCCTGGTTTTGCCTGGAGACGGGCACATCCCGGTCCAGGGCTGGCTCCCCCGGGCTCGGCAAGGTGTGATGACAGGGTCAGCACGGGAGCAAAGAAGAGCTCCAGGGAAGAGCACAAGCAGGGATGGCACCAAAGGGACCTGCCACCCTCAGGAGGGTGGTCAGGGGCTCAGATGCATCTTTGGAAGCAGAGACTCCTCCTATGGTGGGTCCCAGCCCGAAAGGACAAGGGGAATGTGAGGTGCATGGGCAGCAACTGGGCTCATCCTACAGCAGGACCCATGATTGTCTCTTGATGCTGCCCCTGTCCCTGTTACACACCTCCTGTGGCCACAGCTGGGGAACCAAGACTCCATTCCTCCCTGCTGGGGGATCGGCACCGTCGGGATGGAGCACAGTGGGACCCTGAATCACCCTTGGATGCCCCCAGGCCGGGGGGCAGCTCGGTGTCTGCCCTCTCCCCCTGACCCTGGCACTACCATCGTGTCTCTGCCATCACAGCACCCCAGGCCCGGCAAACACAACCCAAGCACGGATGCACAGCTCCCTCGCTGCACCCCCTCCACGGCTGCACTGCCGCTCTCCATGGTGCCCACAGCATTCCCACAACTTTCCATTAAACCCTCCAGCCTGCCCAGCCGCAGAGCACCCCCTCTCCTGCTCCCTGCTCTGCCCGTGCCCCACCTCGCACACAAACCCTGCTGAGCCCCCAGAGCCGCTCCCTGCCCCGCACCTTCCCCTCCACCCACCGCAGCATCCTCTGCTGGACCCCCCGCCCCACCGACCGGGTCAAACATCTTTGGAACATCACCCCGGAGCTGGGAGCCGCCGGGCAGCGGGGCAGCTCCCCCGGAGCCGCTGGGGAGGTGCACGGACCCCGCTGCTATTGCACTTCTCTTTCGCTCAAGCGTCACCAGGTGGGCACAGGGAGGGGAACCAGGGGCAGCGGGGCCCCACCGAGGGGTATGTACACGGGCAGGGGGTGGAGAACGTTCCAGCTTCCTTGATCCTGTTTGTTTTCCAGTGTGAAACAAGGTCCGTGATTTGTTTAAAGTGGTTAACTGGTATTTTCTGTCTTTTTTTTTTTCCTTTTTTTTTTCCTTTCTTTTTGTAAAAAGAGGGTGAGAGGAGGGTGGGGCAAGAGGAGGTGGGATGGGGAGGAAGGGACATAAAACTGGGAGAGACCCCCACCCTGTTACCCTGGGCTGTAAACGAATCCTCGGAGACGAGTCTCTGAGCTGCTCATTTCTCGGGCATCTTGCTGGCTCCTCCCTTCCGCTGGCTCGGGGGCTTGAGGGCGAGCTCGTCCCCCTCGGGGCTGCCCCGGGAGCCTTCCCAGTGCTCGAGGCTTTTCTTGTGATTAGTCTTTGCTGCCACGCTCTCTCTGCCCTTCGGGGACATTTCCGGAGGCCTCTCCTTGGGTTTTCTCCCCCTTTTCTTCCCGTTTGTGCTTTTCTTTTTCTCCTCTTTGCTGGAAGAAAGCTGTTCCCTGTTTTTCTTTTTCCGGCTGGCCTCTGAGGAGGTTCGGAACCAGTTCTGTGTCCGTGGGGTGACACGGGGGTTAGTGACAGTCCTGGGGGCAGGCACTGGCACAGGAACCAGCACCAGCACACACACCCCGAGCCTGGCCCACCCCTCACCCCATGGGCATCACCTCTCTGAGGTCGAACTGCTCGGTGCTGAGCTGCTGCAATGAGCCTGGCGGTGTCAGGGACACCAAGGGGACAGGGAAGAACCCCCCAGGCTGACTGGGAGCTGCTACTCAGCTCTGCTCTTAACAGACGTGGATGGATGGATGGATGGATGGATGGATGGATGGATGGATGGATGGATGGATGGATGGATGGAAAGGGACAGCCCAAGGGTGCCCGTCTCAGAGCAGGGAGCAGTCCAGCCCAGCTCCAGCTGCTTCCTTACCTCCGAGTGAGCCTTGATGATGTGGTACTTGACGCCACTCTCGGAGCTGAACTCCTTCTGGCACAGGAGGCAGCGGTACTTGCCCACTGAGTGGTCCCCCTGCAAGACACAGCAGCTCCTGCAGAGCCCAAAGCACCCCAAGGGGTGGCCCTCCCCTGGCCCTGACCCTCCCGTGACCTCAAAGTGACACCAAATAAACACACACAGGTGGTTCAGACAGTCATGACTCAACCACCAGATCTCTGCCAGTCTCGGTGCTGGGCCAGGAGCTCACAGCCACATCCTCTTTCTGAGTTTCAGGCCATGCCACTTGTGCTGCTGCCTGTGTGTCCCCACCATCAGGTGATGGGGCCATCGCCCTGTGTCCTCACTATCAGCAGATCTGTGATCCCCTGGGACTGAGCCACCATCAGATTTATGTCCAACACTCACCTAATTTTCCTGTTACATTGTCAAAGAGCCAGGGTGAGTGCTGGATTCCTGTCACCAGCGCCCTGGTGGGATGACAGATCTCCTGGCTCTGCTGCAGGTCACGGCACGTGGGAGATAATGTGCTCTCTATTGACGAGGGGGTTATGGATGGGCCCCTCTGGGCCATATATTTCCTCCCTGGGAATTTCTCCATTGCTGTAAATTTTGAGTTAGACAGCTCTTTCATTTCGGGAGAGGACAGGCCTGGCTTCAGGAATCCTTGTGCAAAATAATCCTGGTGCATCAAACCCTGCTGAGGATGGGGTGCTCCCTCTGCTCTCGCTAAGGCTCTGTCTATTGCAACCAGTTCTGCAGAATTTTACAGTGGGAATCACAGACCAGCTCTGGAGGGGCTGTGATTTATTTATGCCAAATTTGTTGGCACACGTATTCAAAGTAAATCCTCTCCCCTAAGGGGAAGAATCCTGCTGATGGCATGTGGGGGTCGCAGAGCAACTCGCCACTGCTGACTCCCAGTACCTGGCCCCAGCTGTGCCAGATCCAGAGGGTGCAGCCCTGTGGTTCATGGAAATGTCCATGCAGATCCTGGCTGCTTCCTGTGCATGGAACCAACCAGAAACCAGCTCTATTTTCTCGCAGAGAAGGAACTGTCCTAGTCTTCTGTGTTTGCTCTTTTATCCTGCATAAATCCAGCTTCTCCTACCGGATCTCTGCAGCCCATTTTCTAAATGATCTCATTAAGGGCTGCTGTTCCAGCTAGCGCTGGAGGAGTGCAGGAGTTGGTGTTTTTAATAACCACAGGGTATGTATTGGAGCTGCCTCCTGGAAGCTCCATTCAATGGAAGCTGCAGCTGGAAATGTTTCAGGGTATAAAGCTTTAGCAGCTCTTAACTTGGTTCCAATTTGAGGGACCTACACAGAGCTCCTGATCCCTCCCCTGGGGCAGCTGCAGGGCACTGGAGCTCAGGGCTGCTCCATCCATCCAGGGGGAGGGCACTGCTCTCTGCATGGACCAGCTGCCTCTTCCAGACTCAGCTCATCCCAGGAGGCACCACACCAGCATCCCTCCAGCTGGGCTTCCAGAGGGGCTCTAGGGCTGCCCAAATTGATGGAGGAAGACTCCTGATTCCCACCTGCCTCAGGAAACATTCAGTT